CCAAGGGCAGAAGTGGAGCCATAGCAGACCCAAGCTCTGTGCTGTCTGCCCCTCGCCCGAAAGTGGGAGGAAAGGTAAGGAAGGCAACCAAGGTAGCTACTGCTGACATGGCTGCTTTTGGGGAAGGAAGCTCTGAAAGTACAAAATTTCTTTGGCGTTTCTAGGATTATTATGGAGGAATCAAGCTGTCAAGGAAGGACTTGAGGCAGCCTTTTCCACAGCAGGGTTTATTTCCAATTGAATGACTCCCTTTCTTATAGCAGAAATCCAAAAGAGATGTACCTATCAGGGAACACAAACTACCTGCTTGAAAATTCCTTAAATGTCCCTTAGATGTGTCATTCAAGTGACCTAAAGGCAATCCAGGCTGCCACTCTTGTACCTTCCCTCACTTTTATCTATAGCAGCATCTGAATCTGGGCGCAGAACTCTACCCTAGCCTCTCCGCATCTGCATTATTAAGTCAAATCGACTGGCACGTCCCCTGGCTCTCCAGCCAGCTGGCACAGCGCTGCTCGCATCACAATGACTACACTCTCTCGCCCTTAGAGCCAGAGGATATCATCTCAGCTCCTTGGTGGGCCCTGGCTGAGCTGTACCAATGCCCCCAAACCAAGCCCGTGCCACATCTTTGAGCATGAGAACCTAACAACTGATCGGCTGCATGGACTACTGTATAGCAATGTTTATATTCATTAAAGAGCTTATTAATATTGTTGTTCCTACTGCAATAATACCATGTTCCACTCCAGTGAAGGAGCTTAGGATGGAAGAACATTTTGCAACCAATTAACGAGCCTCACAGTATCTGCTCAGAGAAGCATACATGGCTTTTACTCACAGCACACAGTAGCAGCTATGAGATCCAAAGACTAGATCCTTGACCATCTGAGGAGATATGGTCAAGGACTTCGGCTGGTAGTAGAAAGCCGCAGATAAGGTGTGAGACTCCTGATCCTTGTTCCTCATGTTTAGTTGCTGGATTCCTGTGTGTGATAGTAAATCATTCATCATTTTTCACAGGGAAGACAGACAGTCACAAGAAAAGCTGTATGTAGGAAAAAGGGTTATCAAAGCATTCACACACTATTTCAAAAGAGTTAGCTAACTGACAAAAGTACACTGCTGTAACATATTTCCATGTATAGGTAGCAATACTTCTCCCCTATAACACGTTGCTGGAATCCTGCATGGGGAACACTGAACTCTGCTCAGTATAATGTAAAAGACAGGCCTCATTAACTCTTGGACATCTTCTCATTTCTTGGTCATAAATCCTATTACCTTGTATTACAAACTGCCATAAAACTCACAGATAAAAGATAATTTATGCTCAGTGTACAGAAGCTAATGTTTCTGTACTCCTGAGAAGCACAGCACCAGAAAATGAGAAAGTATGTATGTGAAACCCTAAGTCATTCATACTGAGCATGGCTAGCATGATAAACATGGCTCAGAGGGCCTAAAGCTCTTCAGCCAGGGTATATCCTAATGGTAATTGATATCAGCAAAATTTCAGGCATAAAATGTATGGATGGTTACATAAAACATCCTGCTCATAAAGAGTGATTACTCCTTTTTAAGAATTCAGGGTTTCCACCCACCAGTACAGAAAAAAATATGATGACAATTCAGTGCAGAGTAGTACGCTTAAAAAAAAAAAAAAAAAAAAAAAAAACCTTAAATCATCACATCAGAAAATGCTTTAGAGCAAGAATCACTTCCTGGAGTTCTTCTGCAGTCTCCCTATTCTAACTTCTATACTAACTAATGCAGCAGGACACACATAAACCCTTGCTAACCACTCTGGGAGTTGGCAAAATCAAATACAGCCCCATACCTACTTTTTCTCTGAAGCAATTTACACTCTTAAGACTTTGGCTTTGATGTTAACTATGACGGTTATCTGCCTAAAGATGCATTAAACTTGTTGGTCACTAGTTTTCCCTTCCCACCCAGAAGAAAGAAAGGTTTTGCTGTCATCTTACAAGTTCTGTAATTCAGACTCTGTTTAGGCCTTTTTTTTTTTTAATACTCATTGACCTATAGTGGAATTCACATCTTTCAATTTAGATCTACACAACGCACAGCTACATCTCACCCCACTACCCAGATTCTCTATAAAGGCAATGAAGACAGAAAGAAATATTTATGGCATAATATACTTCCAATCTTGCTTCTCTTTTCCACCTCCCTTCTCACCAGATCATCTTACAAGTCAGATATGAGTATGAGTCATCTTCTCTGTAGCTTTATTCATGTCAAAACATTTTTTCCCAATTCTTCTCAAAAACTTGCACTGTCTATATCTGGCTTTAGTATTTCTCAAGAGTTATCTTGTACTTAAAGTACTTAAAACCACAAATACCACTTACTGTTCCAGACTTGGATGATTTTATTAGTTGATGAAGAAAGGTTTTGTTTAGCTGCTCCACCTGCTACAGTATATTCCATATAGGGCACTGTCCTTCTTCTGCATTACCCTTAGGATTTCTAGCAAGTTACAAGCTTGTTTCCCACAACACCATGGACCTTTACAAGTGAGTTGTCCAATACTGATAGACACTGCCTTCTGTCCTTGCATATCTTCCTCCCACATAAGCTGTTCCCCTCTATATCAACATTTCAATAACGTGAAATAACTTTTTTAAAGCAATTAATTACTTAATTTTATGGTGTATTAAGATATCCACCCATTTAGTGTTCCTCTTAGTTCCTGCATTGGTAGCTAATAATTCAGGGACTTGACTTGCTCTTCTCTGTATCTTTATAAGAGCTATTATGGGATTCCAGGTTTGTTGCTCTATCCAAGTATTTTAGTCTCTGCCTAGGTACACATGATATAGAATGGTCTCCGCTACAGTGAGCAGAAGTCTAATTTTATTCTGAAATGAAAATATACTTACATTTTGCTCACATATTTTAACCAAAGAATCCTCCCAAAAATCAGATTCTTCCTCCCCAAGAGAGAAACATTTTAGATCTATATTTTATAGGAGAAGCAAGATGCTTTTAACTTTATCATTTGCATTAGCATTTGAATCTCAAAACCCTGCTTCATTTGTTACATAGTTTCCAGACTTGCATTTCAAAAATTTGGTTGTCTCCCACTGTGTTCCTCTCCCTCCTACCTTGATTTTAAATTACAAAGGGGAGAGAAGGAAAGAGAGAGAATGCCATGATTGGGAGTGTTTACAAGAGCAAATATCATGCTGACTTCCATAGGAGAAAAAAAAAAAAAAAGAAGTACTTCCAAGCTTAGGTTCCTTGCCTGTTCCCCTGTATAAACTTCTTATTTGATCTTTTCTTAACTATGAAGGATTAATATTATTATCTGGAGGGACCATGACAGCTGACTGAAGACGCTGACGGTGACAAGTTTAAACCAACAATGAAATGCAATTTTGTGTCAGAATTAGCTTGAAGATTGTTGTAAAATACCTGCCCCCTGTATCTGCCCTTTATTTCTGAATACTAGAAAAAAAGCCTCAAGTTATACAAGTCAGTTATCGGCAATGCAACTTGACAGCCAGAAACTGTGGAAAAGAAATAACACCCTGGGCAGCTGTCCCCACCAATAAAAAGGTATTAAATGTTTCTTGTAAAGCACAGTGAAGAACATAAGGAAGTTTCTAACAAACCGAAACAAACAACCAGCAACCCCAACTCCATTTAAATACACAGACCATGACTTTTTTTTCTAAGACGCAAAGGGGTTAATTGAACACTGAGGACTCTTCCCAAAGCAACCCTGAGAACGGCATTTTGAAAATCACTTAGAGGAAGATTAACAGAAGAGTAATTTAACAGAATAAAAAGCCTTACCAGTCAAGGCGAATATTTTGTAAGAGAAACTGGAATTCTTCATCTTATTTTAACTAAGTGTGTTCTTAAAGGGCTCCCAGAACTACTTTAGAGTGACCAGCAGCACTACCCGCACAAGCTACCCACCAGCGCGTTACTCCACACGTTCAGGTTGTAACCCCAGTTATCCTTTAGCCCTGTTTTCCCTCACTCTGCTGCTTCTAATCACTTGCATTCCCAGTCATTCCTCATCACACGGGCAAATGAGCTCCTGCCTCTACCACCCCTCCTGCAGACACAGGGCTTCCAAGTTGTTAATACAGCATCTGCCCCTGTGGGTTTCAATCTATAATCTTATAGAAACTTATTAATGCCTTTCTCAAATTACAGTGAAATGTGTGTGGTGCAGGGTTTGTCAATTTTATCAGTTTTATCGATTTTATTATTTATTTTAATGAAATAAGCTGAGATAAAATGGAAAAAGTTAGGTAGGCTTCTATAAACCCTGACATCAGGGAAAGGTATTTCCAAACAAATAAATGTATCACTGTTAGAGAAAACTTTCTGATGCTTAGATTTGCTTTTAATTTAAATCTTAAAAGTAGAACTCTGCAAGATCTCGTGCTTGTGGCATTTTATGAATCAATAAATGGAGCTGCAGACCTGAAAACCACAAAATCAACGTATCTAAAACAAATCCCCTTGCTGATCCTAGCTGGGTTCCCATCATAATGAACAGCACCATTCCTTAACATGCGAATTCTGCCTGACATGTTTGTCAAGGCTTCCCTCATATCTTTCTCCTATGGTTTTCTTTTTCTGACTACACACATCTATATGTATCAACATGCAAAGGGACTGTGTGCTAAATTCAAATTTACTACTACCCAATTTAAAAGTTTAAAGACTTTCTTAATTTGTAATCAAAATCCCAGATTTAGTCCATTTCAGCTTTTATACCTTCTTAATTTCTTTGTTCCTCCCCTTTGAAACAAATCTACTTTGAACAAATTAAATTGATCTTTTCAAAGGCAGGACTGCAGGGTATATCATTTGCTGTCCATTTATCTGTATTTTATATTTAGGCTTTGACCCTACAGAATACAATTAAGAAAATGCACATTTTTTGGTGCCAGAACAACAAGCTCTGGACAGAAAGTCAGTTTTATTACAAAGAAACTTTTCACATCACTTACAGGCTGAAGCAGGTAAATCAGGGAGCACTCTTGAATAATGATCACCGGAAAAGGAGTGATATTTGTTGCATGAAAAAGGGTTTCCACTGCTGCCATTATTTGGTCGAAGCGTCCTGCAAGGCCACCCAAAGCCACAATTACATCAACCTAAAAGATAAAAAAAAAAAAAAAAAACAGTCACCAAGGGAGAACCTTCAGGCCTGAAATTTAGGCCCTGAAAATTAACAACAAAATCACTTTGTGAAAAAAGAAAAGATAACTACTGACTTCACAGGAGCAAATCTCCAATACAGTCATTCACTTCTATTACTGATAAATACCATTATGTGGTTCTTAAGCTGAATACCAAAGCTGTGTAAATTCCTGGTCACTGCATGGTACTTTAACCAAGAACATGACCGTTTTGCTTAAAATCCCAGCCAATCTCTGCAAGTACCTATCTATCTGCCTTGATTGGGTATGACATGTAACACTCCACACTTAAGCTTCTTAGGTAAGGACAAGAAATTAGCTGTGGTATATCCAGCCTTTAGTGTTTTTCATCCCCAGATTTCAACACCCTTCTAGTATTATCCCCAATTTGCAAACGAAGGAAATAAAGCAAATTTCCCATTAGGCCCATTCTACCCCATTCCGGCTCGCAGTGCACAGCGTTTTACATAGCAGCAATCCTGTTTCCACAGGCTGGATCTACTCCAGCCTAACGACACGAGCAGCTTCCGAGGTGGGAGGCTCCAGGCCGAGTCCATGCGGGGACAGGAGGACAGGAGGAGCAGCAGCTCCTGGGTGGAGCCCCCAGCAGGAAGGGCATATTTAAAAGTCTTTTCTTCAAGAGCTTTAAGGTCCTCTCATGAAAGGTCACCAAGTGTAACGTACTATTATTACTGCTTCTGTAACTGCATCAGTTGTGCTCTGTAACTGCAGCTTAAAAAGCTACCACTGCAGAAGTCCTGTCTAGAGCCTTAACACACTGCAGCTCTAAAGCTCTCCCAAGCTGCGCTGGCATTTGCCATCTGGTTTATAGAGCTTTAAGTCTACAGCGACTGTGATTACAGGAGGTTTTACTCAATCCACAAGTCACTTAGTGGTGCTCTGTGTTTCTGAAATGATGTATTAATAAGATCAGCTTCTACTTTTATTACCAGGGCTAGAACTTTACGATTTTGCTGAGTATGCACGAAAATTAAGCTCTTTTCAATTTGGTCAAGACACACCATCTTTCACATCACCACAAGGAAAGCAGTAGAGAAGTCAGACTGGATCAAAATAACATATTTTATTAACAGCATACATTCAAACAAAAACCCTATCAGCTCTTCTACTGCAGAAAGAGATTTTCTGTGCAGATTAAAGATTGCACAGATCTAACATATGATCAATATATGATGTTAGGAAAATCCATCCTGAAGAAGGATACAAATCACCAAAACAGCAAAAGGTAAAAAGCATCTGTCCCCAGCTAAGCCATGATACATTTTTATTATATCAATTCCAGTGTAGAAACAAATTGCATTTGTTTGACTGGTGGCAACTGTGATTCAACAAAGTTGAATCAGTTTTTTGAAATAATATTACTAAAAAAAAAAAAAAAACAACCCTACCAACACTGCTCTTCTTCACTACCAGTCAACTACTGGCAGAAATATCCTCCCACCCTAACGGAGGCTATGAGAACAGTCTGCTGTACTCACATGTAGCCACACTGACATTAAGGGGGTTTTGCAAGGGATCAGCAATCTTCATGCATGATGCTTTTCTTGCAAGCAAGGGGAGTGCAGCTTAAACCCACCCCATTAGGCTTAAACCTAAGGCTAACCGATTCACTTTTTAAAAAACTGAGCAACTATAGTCTGCATTTCTTACCTTATGTGAACTTGTTTTGGCTTTAATTTGAATTTTAAGAATGAAGGAATTGTGGAGTTCCAGCAGACGTATTTTAAATGTTGCAACAGTATTCTGAATACATCTTCTCTTCCTCATAAAACTGCCAACATGTCACGTAAAATCTACTCTATTATTAACACACACGTAACTCTTATCACACAGTACAGAACCCTTCTGAACCAGAGTTGTTCACTGGCTGAATCTTTTTTTGTGCTATTGCAGAGTACAGCAAGTTGAAGAAAAATATAAGTAAATAATACTGTAATGCATGACAGAAATAGTACAGAAATGCTATTTCTTGTTCTAGGCTATTGCAGTGTTCTTGCATAACGGTGCACAGAAATGAAAGAAAATAGAACCAGTCTTGCATGAGGCAAGCCTGTTGAAAAGGTGTTCACAAGTCAGCAGGACTGGCAGCAGGGGTGTTAGGAGAAGGCTAACAAAGATATCTGGAAAGGAAATGTAACTATTCAGAAACTCAAAGAACTATTCAGGTTCTAGGTGGATTTTTGAAAATGGAAAGTGCAAGTACATGTCCGCAAACAAAACCAGCTGGAGTATGAGATGAGCGAACGGAGAAAAAAGCTCAGACTATGAACTTCAGGGACGGCGGGCAACGCTGCCTTCCCCAGGGAGCTCTGGCAGCAGCGACAGGCGTGCAGATGTGGTAGCACTTACAGAGCCTCTATGTGAAGCTCTCGCTACGCACATTATTTTTACTTAACACACATGAGGAGCTTAGTCCAACAAAAACGTCAAGAACCATTTCATCCTCAAGCTGCCAGTTCTGTGCCCCCCCCCCCAAAAAATCCTTCCCTGCAGTCATTGCTTCTTTCATTCTTGAAAATTCTCAAGAAAACAGATGTGCCAACGTGCCATGAAAGCACAAACATGACTCTCGGCCATTCTAAACCATAAGACAAAGGGAAAGTAAATAACAACACTCAGGACCTTTATGGATTCACACATTTCAGACAGGAAGGGACATTCATTTTTCCAGTACAATTTCCTTTTTAACACAGACTACAGAACTATACCCAGTTATTGCTAATCAGCCCAGCAGGTAGCATTTGACTTACACATTGCACTTCCAGTGAAACAGCCGTGCTTCACTTAAATGTCCTGTCACCAGCCCCCTTATACAAATCGTTTTCACTCAGTGCTATTAATTTTCCAGGAAAAAAAAAAAAGGAGAGAAGAAAAAAAGATTTAAACCACTAAATAACTATAAATAATAGCTTGGATCATTGCAAGTGTAGCGTAGAGGGGGTTGTATTCTCCTGGACTATCTATAAGCTGCCTTAAGCACACTGCGCAGCATTTTTAAAGGCTCCCAGGCTTTAATTTAGAAAAAAATTAAGGATCTATGACTGAGGTTCAGTCACCTTTAAATGACACACCCAGGCATTAGTAACTCTGGAAAGGGGTTTAGGAATTCCTAACAAATAGCAAGGCAGTTAAAGGACAAAGGAAGGATAAAGACAGACACTACTGTCCCTTTGGAGACACATTTCTTGGGTTTCTTCCTCTAACCTAGAGCTGCAGCCACGGGCTGCCATCACATCAGAATGAAGTTGCCTATTTTTTTGCTTCCTTTCTCATGGACACTACTGAAATGTTCAGTTTGCCAGTTTGCTTTAAACTGTTTACAGGCTTGTTAAACACTTTTTTTTTCCCCGCCTTTTTGTGCAAACTGGTCCAGCTAATATTCCTCTTTCTGGTATGGATGGGTTAAATGCAGAAAATATTTCAGCTATGCATTTGAAGAACATGTACTTAAGGGGAAAGGTAAAAGGACACAGCTGAGAATTGCATGAATTAGGTTAAAGAGGAGCTTAATATCTAGTTTTGTAATGCAAACATCACCATGACTCTAAAAGCATAGTCCAACCAATGCCCAAAGTGACAGCAAAGATGCCTGTTCTTCTTAAAATTACACTCTTGAACCCTGGTAAGAAGTCCTCTCCCCAAGCTACAGCTGGGGCTCTGGACAGTTAACTCGCAGGATTTTCACCCACACGAGCTGTTTCAGTGAGACAACTTTCAGAAAAACATGCCCAAGTCACAGAGAGCGGGTTCATGAAAGAAAGTATTTACTGACAGCAACTGCTGGCACCGGCATTAATTGCAAAATCTGACCTCCCGTAGAGCAAAAGGGGAAGGCAACAGGAATCAGGATGCTTAGCAGCTCTGGGGCCCTGCATGATCCTTCTTCTGTGACTATGGACACCACCCGCTAACACCCAGGATATTTCCATGCCAAATACAGGCCAGATATTGTATTTAAATGCATTTAATGTACTTAAAAGCAGCAGCTTATTATCATCTTCTCACTTCACTGCCATCTCTTCACCCCTTACCATGCTGCTTTGTTTCTCATGCCACAAAGCCTATTGCTTTAATTTAACATATTGGAGGAAGGCGATGTAGAGGATGTAATTACTCCAGCAGCACTCCTTCACTTGAAGTTTATTATATGCTGAGAACTAAACAACTCAGTGGTGCTGTGAATGCTACATTTATTACTGCTTCATGACACCATCAATTGCGATCAATCTACAAGAAAAGCATTTTTTCTTCCTATGTATGTTTTGCAAATCAGGGGGTGATTGGAAAATGCAGGTATATTCCTTCTGTGTGTGTCTTTGCTTTGATACTGAAGACTCTAAAACACACGTAACAATCTCAGAGAACAAATGCAATAGAGTAGATAGCAGCTCACTTTCCCATAGCTGTGTTAGCGCTCTTGTCCTTCTCAGAGCATTCTTTTAAACCATTCACAAAACAAAATCACAATGTAAATTTAAAGAACTATTAACACTCCCCCAAGCAATGACGTATGATACGATGAGTTTCAGTTGATTATGTTGCCTTTCTCACTCAGTGTTTTCCACGAGAGCTGTGCCACTTGTTTCCTTTTGGAATGATAGCACGGTCGCACACCAGCACCTGAACTCTGCTCTGTTCACCCGAGCAGGAACCCACTTGTTGCTCTCACTGTCTGACTCGCTGTGGAAGCAGGAGCTCTCAGCGAAGGCTGTGATGCTGCCTGTCTCCCCACCTTTCCATCAATGACGTGGTCACCTCGCCAAGCCCATTAAAGCCTTGTATGACATTCTTCCAAGCCATGTCAGCTCCCTTCACAAAGCATTTCTTGCTTATGTTCATTTTCTTACACTTTCACCAGAACAGTTTCTCCACGGGTAAGGCTATTTATTTCAAAATGAGAGGTTCTCCCCTTCTGCTAATGATAGGAGACATTG